CTATAAAACTGTTTGTTATTAGATTACATTAACTCAGTAGAAAATTTAGAAAAATGTTTGTAAGGATAACACAAATCATATTTAGTTTTTAAGTATTTGTATCTTACTGTTAGAGTTAAGGACTACTACTCCTATTAGCATAAGTGGATTTTCAATAAATTGTCTCACTACTCCTATCTAATAATACCATTTAGGACCCATTAGCTGAATGTACCTGCAACATACCGAATACCTAAATGAAGCTCCAGGTGCATCCAACTGATGAACTTCAAACAAGACTTAACATTCATCCTGAATTCCACAAATAATCACTAACCAGCTTTACTAAATACCATATTTACTCTCCTTTTTAGTTTGATTAAAAATATTCATCATTAACCATTGAAGTCTATTCATATTTCATTATTTTGTGAAGTCAAATAGATTTTAACTAAAGTGATGAGATTTCACATAGATATAGAATGATTATAAAGTGTAATTGTAAATTTCAATTGTTGAGATCATGAGTCGATTGAAGCTAGACCACCATGGAAAACCTGGAATCACTGAACGACCGTTTCGTCCTATTGTGGGACTCCTCAAAAGTGCACATCCACGATATATCCACGGTATATCCTGGAGGTCTATTGAGAAGCAGTGAACAGTGGAGTTAAAGCGGGTCAGTTGTGAAATAGCAACTCACTGATGACAGTGGTGGATATGTCGCTCAATTTCTTGGATAAGTTGGAGTTAGACATTAACAACGTTGGATGCCTGCCGTCTCAGTGGTATAGTGCTTAAGCGTTCGCGGTCAAGACTGATAGGTCCTGGGTTAGAGTGTTGCAAGGCAAGATAGTGGATGCGCACTGCTGAAGAGTCCCTCAGTAGGACGAAACGACTGTCCAGTTCTTTCAGGTTTTCCATGGTGATCTAACTTCAATTGATTCATGATCTCCACAATTGAAATTACTAAAATCTCCACAAAACCTCCCTTCTGATTATAATTGTAAAATCACTTGAAAGAACTGATTCTATTTCAGCTAAAATTGGACAATACTGAATTTTTAAATTTTAACACAGATTTTTATCAGGTATTAAAAATAATCCAAATAAGTGAAACAATTTATTACCTTGTAGATAAGCATCTTCCTGTTACAAAAAAATACAAAACAAACAAACAATACACTGGATTTAAATAATGTCTACCGGAATCCATTGTAAATGCACACACAAAAACGATAACACTATCTGGTATTTACGTCTTCTTCCCTCCCTCTCTCTCCCTCTTTCTCTCTCTGTATATACATATATACAAACAGAAGATATAACACTAACGAAATAATATACATAATACCTAATGAGCATTTGATGTTAAACTAGATGATACTGACTATGACAAAACTTATAAGCACTTTAATCGTTTTCTTTTTCTAACGAGCAATTTAGATATAAATATAAATAGAATAATCAGTAACTATAATTTAAGGAGGTTTTTTGCGTTAAGTTCTTTTTTTTTCACCAGCCACTTCATGTGGCTGTTTATACTTTGTTTATCAAACAGAGAAAAAGATAAAGCGAAGATTACTCTTTATTTCTCTGTAGATAACACAGAGTTGCGTAATTTGCAATAAGTACTAGTCACAATAAAATATGAAGATTGTTTTAACTAGGTTTTATCATATGGTGGGAAGTAGACTGCTTTTTTTCAGTTTCTGTATTCTCAGAAGTAAGTACACTCGACTTAAAATATGATCGTATATTCATGTTTCATAGAAGACACGCCATTATTTAGAATTATCTTCAGATAAAGATATTTTCATCAACATAATAGATTTATGCAGATTTATTGAATTTACTGACTGTCTACTGGTTCTCGGACGAATATATTAAGTTTTGGTGAGACGTTGTAATTGATTAACCTCAGCTAAAACAGATATGAAGCACTCATTCACTAAGCTACAACCTGACTGAAGTTATGAATGTGAATCACTATGTTACTTTTCAACGGTTTAAAGTAAATGTCAGATGAATGGATTACTTATGTTTCAAAAACAGGCAGAAGAACTATACCACAGAATGTATTTGTTATAACTTGTCTTGGCTCTTTTAATGCTACTTTTTGTATCTGGTCGTCACTGACTGTTATGTCGGAAACGCCTATCACTTATACTCGGAACGAGGGACCTCTGCAATTCCTACGACGCGAAAGTAAGAACACAAAGACTGGTATAAGCGATGATTTATTAACCCCAAAACACTATGATGACGACTCCAGTAGAAAAATGCACTCATTTATATATTGTTTGTACACCCATTTTGATTAATAATTAGAATGAAATCACATATATGAAAAATACTTACAGTTATGACAAATCACATACTGACCATAGTTCATGTCAATGGAATACAAAAATATCTCATATTAAACAAAATAAAATATCATACGAGAAAAGAAAACAAATACTACATTGAGTAATCATTATATTGAATCAAAATGGAAGTACTCTTGAACAAAACTCATAATGAGTTAATCAATCGAAAATTGACTTTTCTTTCCATCACATCAGTATTGTTCTGTATTTATTAATGAAATTTGAATCCGATCTTTAGATGCAAGGATTTCCACTTTCTTTGACATTGCAAAAAGGCAATGAAAAATTTCATCTTTTCACGGATATTAGGCAACTAGTTCAAGTTTACTCCCAAATAACTCCAGGATAGCAAAGCTAGAGTTTCATAAGTCAAGCTAACGTGTGTTTGTCATTTATCATGGTATATGACACAATGATTACTGAATTTAAGTATAGTGTCAGAAAACTAATATACAAGGTACGACAACTTAAAGAAATTTAACTTAGAAGAAAAGCACAAAACCGGCTTTTATTAGACAGAAGTGATATAAAATCTGTTAACTTTAATTTTGATTGATTGATAGACACTTATTGTGTTTAACTAACATTCAAGCTGTAATTGGATATTGTTTTTAACGTTAACGCTGTTCAGCAGAATTTACAAAGCTATCATTTCGAAAGTGATTCAAATAGACTTTCTGTTGAGAGTTTGCTTGTCTGGAGGTAATTGACTGGAAACTCTTAAGACAACTGGTGCGACTTACTGATAACAGGGTTCTCTGTAAATTACCTTCAACCACCTAAAATCTCAACAAATTATATGTATTATCAAATCACTTAAACTAGTGGTCATATTACAACATGATCGATCAGAAATCGATCATTACTAAAAGGAGTGGATAAATATGATATTGGTCACTATTCAGTGATCAATCAATTGTATATTTATTATTTTAATATTAAGTTTGAATAATTATTTATTTAAGTGTGGATTATTGTAGAGAGTGGGATCAGCTAATGGCTATTTTCGTGATTGTTAATAACATATACTGAAAATGTTCAAAATGATAAGAGCTTATATATATAATCTTGATCCAGTGAACACTCAGATATATGTTAAGTATGTACATATGTAAAAAAGATGGTGTTTGAAAATTCAAGATGTAACTAGAGGCAACTTCCAGAAAGTAGTGACCAACAAAGAAATCCAAATAATCAGTAATTAATTCATTTTCTCTCTAAAGATTCAGTCCATGTAATTCAACGTTTCCTTCAATTGCTTCATGATACAGGTTGTAGCTAAAGCTTTCGACACTCACAGAAAAATTATAGACCATTTAATAAACGTAAACTAAGCTTTGAACTATCAGCAGTGTAAAGTAATTACATCAAAGAATCTATTCACTAACTCGTATTAATTAAATTCAACAAATGAATATATAAACACAATATTTCATTGTTTTTGTGAATGTGATTCTGAAACATTCTCTTCTTATAATAACGTTTAACTATGAAAATTCCCGCTTCTTACTAAAGCTGATCAAACTCATAAATTGAAATCAAGAATAAGATTTTTTTTTAATGTTACAGCTGACAGATGTAGTTAATGAGCTTATAGAATAATCCAACTAATAAACTATTCCAAGAGTTTTAAAGAATATTTGAAAAAGGAAACAACAAGAAAAATTTTATTAATTAAGGCTAAAAGAAATTGAGGGTAAGGAAAATAATCAACTTTTATAATAACCCATTTCAAAAAAACAGAAAAAAAATTCTAAGAAACAACCTTTTAAATAATGATTTTATCTTAGATGATTGTTTGAAAATACAAATAAGAGTTCTGGACTTCTTTAGAGTCCAGACAAGTTCAAACAAGTTTGCTGAACGAAACACTGGAAATATCTAAATTTCAATCACTGAGACTATTTCAAATACACACTTTCATATATAGTGAATTGTCTATACTTGGTGCCCAATTTTTGTCAAACTATTCATTCTAATCTTGATGAATATTTGTATATATCCATATGTTCATCAATCATAATAGGGTTAATATCGTGAAACCATTGAAATGACTGACTAATCACAGTTATTTACGTAAAAACTTAATTATTCAAAGCTTAGATATCAATGCAATAAATGTGTAACATGGATAAATTAAACTAAAGGACGCATCAAGAAAATGATCAGTTAATTCCTTGGTTTTTAATGTTATGAAACTAAACACTACCAAATAAACGTACCTTTATTCCCATACATTTTAGATTTCGTAAATTTACTTTAAATTTATGATTGGCAAGACTATAGTTTATGGACGAACCAATCAGATATATGATAGCGAGTGTTGGATGTTGGCGCAGAATTCATTCATACATTTGGTGAAATAACGTTTGGCATTATAGTTTATGTCAGTTCGTGATGAAAACCTTAAATTGAATCTCTAACCCTAACTATCAACTGTATATCATAATTATAATTCTCCACACTGGTTTATAACCCTCATTTAGTCCTAGTTTGTAGGTGGACATTCTCAAAGTAACTTTAGTATCGCTCAAACGTCGTCCATAAATTACAGCCTCACCAATATTTTTTTAGTAGAAAACATTTTTATCTTTTTTTAATATTGTCAGTTGACTAGTATTTTTAGTAAATATTTATTTAATCTTATAGGACCGGTGTATTAGCTCGATCACGTGCACTTGAAGACTGTAGACAAAGAACAAATGCTATCTTGAAAACCATTCAACCGAATCATATAAATATGGATTTGATAAGATCCGCTAAAATTAACGCAGCTAAAGAAGCTTATTGGATCAATCAACTGACTAATAGACTAGAGCATGTACAAGTAAGTTAATTCATTTTTGAGTAAATTAGATCTATTCACTACTCTTAGAAAAATTTGTTGATTTTTCTGGTTAGCGTTCTTTTAGCGAGTTAGTTTTCTACGAGATGAGGTCTCCAACCCCATGCCCAACCCTCCTTTATCTGGGCTTGGGACCGGCAGTAGTCCCCGGAGGGACTACAAGCGGAGTTAGAAAAATTTGTAGAAAAGAGAAATTGTTTTAAAGCGATAGTTAAATGAGTGTACTGATTACGTTATCAATAAAGGTTATGTAAATAAACTGCTCGGTCAAAGAATGAAGACTGAAGTTGACTAATATCCGGACGATTAAATTTTTTATGTAAAGTTTAAGATAGAATTGTGATTTTTTTAATAGTTGATTGAAAGATATCTGAAAGAGAAGTTAACAGTCTATATCTCTTTATTGTGGAAATCAAATGTTCACTGAAAATTAAGGTCAATTATTGTGATAATCAACGTAGAGAAAATAATCCTAAAGACAAAACAATCCTAATTTTTTAGTCAGTACTTGCTTCACATGCAAAGATGGACAGTGGCTAGCGGTGGAATACATGATACGTGTTTCGGCCTATTTGTTATTCGTCAGCCGAATGTACGTGCATCTCACAGTCGATGTTCACGCTGGGTCTCGAACCCAGTACCGGCTTAAACGCCATCACGTTATCAACTTAGCTGCTGAGTCCTGATGGTTAATTAGTTGTGCAATGAGTTGAAATTCAAATTCACTAGATATTGTTTACTTAAATTTTTCCATAGATCTTTAAGACTGTAATTTATCAGTATCTTATTCGCATATATGCATATTGTGAGTGTTGCCATGATATTGCCTTAATTCACAAGCATTCTAAACAAAGATGGATAGTGGGGAAGATATGTAGCTTAAGTGGATGATTTTGATGGAGTTTTGTTCTCTGAGCTGGATGTTTTGGTCGTGGAGCTTTCATTGTTCTTCTGGACGACATCATCAGCACAAACTTCAGGTAGAAGTTACCTGCAGTTCTAAACATCAATGGGTAGATTCAATTAAACAATACCAAGTGAATTTAGTATTTACTTTTGCGCCAAAATCCAATATCCGTTAACTTATACCTGATTGGTTCGTCCACAAATTATAGTCTCGCCGTCCTATTTGTTATAGCCGCTCAATTATCACGTTTTGTATAAAATCCTCCGTGAACCGATAGTATGTTATCAGTGAGTACTGAAGTTAACGCCGTGACCTTGAAATCCCTCAAGCGCTTCTGATTGACTCGTCCATAAAATACAGTCTAGCCCCGATAACATAAAGATCATTCGGAACTTTAGAAAAACCTCATTACTGACTAAAATTTAAATTTCATACTCAATAAGGAACTTAATATTTGACTCATATGATGTTCTTGGGTAACATAGTTAATGGTAACAGAATAATTTATTTATTAATCAAGCTGCCACCCTGGATGATTAGCTTTCATTTTCCATGTGAATTTGTCAAGCTCTACAAAATCACTGTAGGCGCAAAACACATAATAGAAACTAAAGGACTAATATTTTCAGACTGTCTAAAGTCAACGATAATTATGTGAAACTAGAGTCGCTTTTTGAAAAACAAACAGAAAACAAATCATATGCATTTTTCATCGTTCATAACGAACATACTACCTACTTTTATGAGGAATCATGGCTTCAACTTGGGAAACAACATCCTGTCTTAAAAATAAGTGTAAAAGCCATGAAATATGCCTATGATCCAAATTAAATAAGATTTCTTGAGAATATTCCTAATCAAATGTATAAAGGTACTGTTCTACAGTATTTCTTTTTTTTGTAATAAACAATGAAGAGTACCAAAGTTTGTAGGTTCTCAACTATCATTTTACCAGTCCTTTAAAAGAACCGACAGTAAAGCAGTACTAAATCTTAAATGCTTTACTTCCCTAAATATGATCGATTTGTAGTGTTCGTTATTAACTTCATTTATAATTTACATTACTTTATTCATTCACGGTTAAACTTAATCAAATGGCCAGTACACACATTACCTCAAAATTTCAGACCATTAGAGTATTTACAAGAAAAGCCTACGTTTATTTTTCTTCTGTTCAAATAAGTTATTTTGTTTACAGGGACACTTAATTTTCAATTTCTTATTCTAACCAACAAATGGTGACCTTAACTAAGGTAATGAACAAGAAGTTCTAATGTTTGCATTCGCAAACAAGAGACAATGTCTATCTTGAACGATAATCAATGTTTATTAACTTGATCGATCTGAGAGTTGATATTTCATGACCACGATGACTGATATCCTATGATTGAGCTTGATTTAAAATAAATAGCGAAGAATAAAAATCATAAACAGAGGTGGATGGTGTCTAGTGGTGAAATCCATGATGCGTTTTGTCCTATTTCGGTTACATCAGATGGATTTAACTCCACCTCAAAGTTGATGTTCACTCTAAGACTCGAACTCAGTACTGTTATCTACAGACGCCATCGCGCTATCTACTTGTCTACTGAGTCCAGATACCTACTGGCTTGCTCAAGCAACCAATACGAATGAATTAAAAAATGAAAAAAAATGTTGTTATTTTTCACCTTTAATAGTTGAATACAACATGACAAGAATAGCGATCTTTCAGTCAGTCAGTCAGTCAGCTACAACGTAGGACCAGGCACATATGTGCATCGGTCCAGGTTGCCATACCTCATTAGCACAGCAAGATGAACACCGGATTCATAAAAGTAGTTAATTCAGAGGTGGTAATATATAGGAGGATTGCAATAAGGATATAGTATAGGAAGAAAGAATTAGTTCCAAATCATATCAGCTAACAACAAACTAAATTATAAAGAATCAGAAGGGGTTTTGTGGAGATTCTAGTAATTTTATGGTTGAACTCATGAGTCAGTTGAAGCTTGACCACTATGGAAGACCTGAAAGCACTGGACGGCTGTTTCGTCCTACTGTGGAACTCCTCAGCAGTGCACGTTCACGATCTCGCTCTCCGCGAGATACGAACAGCGGACCTATAAATCAATGGTGTGTGGTGGAGCAATTTCGTGGATTGGTTGAAGTTAAACACTAACAAAGTTGGATACCGGCTCAGTGATCTAAAATTCAAGCGTTCCCGCGCAATACTGATAGGTCCTGGTTTCAATTCACACGGGCGGGATCGTGCATGCGCACCGGTGAGGAGTTCCATACTAGAATGAAACGGCAATCCAGAGCTTCCAGGTTTTTAGCAATGGTGGTCTAGCTTCAATTGATTCACGAATTCAATTATTAGAATAATATGAATACACTTTATATCATTAGGTTCTGACTTCATGGATTACAACCAATGATTTTTTAAAATGGAATATGAAATAATTAAAGAAATACTTGTGGTTAGAAATTAACGTGAACATTTAGCAATGTGATGTAAGAAAAATTTAATTAAAATTAAAATATTGAAAAAAGAAGATAAATACATCGTAACTACATGCTTCATGTAGTAGAATATTTTATGAGTTTATTTTCAAAATTAAAAATGTTTGTCTATACGATCGCAGTTATTCACTGAACTACTTAACTTCCCGTGCGCGTTTAAACTAATAACATGCAAAAAACATATTTTTATGAAAGAAGATTGATTTTTCCAAGCTGTGAGTTATTTCGAATAGTACTGAAATCTGTTCTAGTTAAAAAAATTAATCAATTAAATGAAGTTGGAAGTGCAGGTTACTGGGCGATAACTCAGTGTTCTAATGATCAATTTAGCTCGTAGCGAGGATAAACGCATTAGAGTTTCATCCTTGAGGAGTGCTCACTGATAGAATATTCATACTGTGGCTAAAGTTGCTTACTGACCCGTAACTATAAATCGCCTCAGAGTTAAAATAAATTCGTGATATAAACTATTTTCATGTTACCTATAGTAAAATTTTTAATAAATGTTTGTTTTTTGCAGCTAATTAATGCATGCATAATCTGTTTTCAATTCAATTTCAGACACAGATACAATTACAGCTTATCACAGAATTATGTTTACTGCAAAAAGGATTGGTAAATCATTATTATGTCTTAGATCAACACGCTGTGAGAATCCATGTACCAGAGATAACGGATACAAATTCAACATTTTCAGCTTGTGAACTAATTGGTCCTAATTTTCAGTTTACTGAACAAGCATTATTGATTTTGTCTAACTGGAAGTTGGATCCGCTAACAAATAAACAAATTAAACATACACTAAAAACTCCAGTATGTCATTTCTCCCCAGTTGTTCCTGCTACTTATGCTGAAAGTGAGTAATATTGCTAGATAGTGCATGAATACATAAGTAGCTCTCATGTAGAATTACTTAATTTCGAAAATAAATAACTTTTTAAAGGTTCACATTATAAGCTAATATCACATCACGATTGAATATGAAAAAGTAGGAAACTTCTATTAATTATTCACCATTGAATCTTATATGTATGAGATTTTCGTTTACAATCTTCTTTATTCAATTAATTTCAAAGAATTTTCACTGAATTATGTACGTTTAGCTCATGTTTATTAGGGTTGATCCAACGACATCCTTTCAAAAGTGTAAAAAAGATAGATTTAAATAACTTGACTGTTAATAGGTGTTAAAAATTCAGGTGGATATTCAGTCGTAATCAGAGGTTAACTTGATGCAAACATACATGAGCAAAATCTTCTGTTATAACTGATAGACTACAGAAAATCAATGAATGACTAGCGAATTTTGTTCATTACTGTTAGAGTCAGTTTCTTTTTTAAACATATTAACAGTAACATTTTTATCAAAGCATGAAGTAGTTTTGAATCGAAAAGCAGAATCAGCGTTTTCTATGTAGAATATCTATAGTTCAGTACATAACTCTCCATATATCTTCAAAAAAATGTTACTTTTCCTTTTAAACTCTCTAAGCACGTTTTACTTCTTATTGTGTTCAATTAAAAATATTATTTAAATAGAGGAAGAACAAACATTGATGTAGAATAGTATGAATTCATATTATTTCGAGGTTTCTCGTCAGCTGCTTACAAACCGAAATTGTGATAGAATTTTTTTCCATGGAGATATTGTGAAACAATTGACATAAATGAGTGTAAATAACATGATTACAATAATAACTATATATATATGCTAGAAACAGGTCAGGGGTCAGAAGAGGGGGGTTAATCCAGGTGGGTGGTGTAATAATTTAGTGAAGTTCATAAATTGTGTGATAATTGTAGAGATTAATGGAATTAAATAATGATCAGGTAGATTACGTAATAATAATTAAATAGGGTTTGGAAAGTTAAGATGATTTAAGAGGAACAGGTAGTGGAAATGTGTGAATAAAATTTATTTTTAAGAATTTATTTTCTTGCTCTATTTAAATTCATAAAGGGAACCAATTGCATGAAATTTCTAAAAATATCATGTTGCGCAATATCATAAATTGATTGGAATAAGACGATAACTTTGTTGCTATGGTTTCTGGTTTCTGTAGTGAAGCCGTGAATATACACTGCTGAGGAGTTTTGTTCTAGGATAAAACATATATTAGATAATCTCTGATTTCCAATAGCAGTCTAGATGAGATCAGGTCATGATTTAAATTACGTAAATATTACCGCAAAAGAATATACGTTAAAGAACACGATACAGGTCTGTAACCCACATACAACAATATCTACATCTACTTTCCTAGATATCACATTTTTATAGTTCACTTTCTATCTTATATTTGCATCAGTAAGCAGAAAACCGTATGATATTTATATGCGTTTAGCTTTATTTATCTCATTTAAGCAACTGATTGTTTGGATAAAATTTTTATATTTTAATAGTCAAATTCTTAATCTCACCTTTTTTCTTTTAAAGGTCATCTATCACGTTTATTAAGAATGACTAGTTTAAACGAACAATCACTTCAAATGAACAATAAAAAAACTAATGAACAAATTACCTCAAATAATAATCAAACAGAATCAAACATTCAAGTTGATAGAAATCAATTAGATTTCAACTATGAACAACTTACTACATCAATTGGAAGTTTGTCAACTTTAATTAATGCTATTTATCGTTTATTATTAACTAGTTTAACAGTAATGATGGCTATGGGTGGATTATTAGTCTGTTTGCATATGATTTCAATTTTGGGACGTATAATAATACGAATTCCAGTACGTAAGGTGAGATGAAAAAAAACCCTGGAAAATTATTTTATTGAGTTTGAATATATTTTCAGGATTAATGTCAAAAGTTAATCTGAAAAGCGGGGGTTCTGTTTTTATATTTATTTATTATAAAGGCAGATTATAATGAATTGCAAATCTTATTTTATTCATATATGATTTGTCTTACTAATAATATTTAAACTTTGTATGTGATCTTGTTACTATGTGAACCTTTTTGATGTTTCGGTGAAGATTTGTAATCAATAACAAGATATTGATCAACATGTGTTAAGTGTACATTGATTACAATTAAACTGAATTCAAACTTACCATAGTTTATTATTATATCTGATCTATGGTATTAACAAACTACCGTCTACCTAAGGAGTTTAAATATGCTATATATATATATTCTGTCTACCAGTGAAGAAGTTCGAAATATTTTAGAAGGTATGTAACTGAATCGCATGTAATTTGTGCACAAGGTTTCATTTACATTTTTTATGACAACATCATGATAAAACAATTAGCCGCTAAACGAAATGGATAACATTTCAACTACATAGTCTGTAGAAGACAACTAACTATACTGCACATCGTTTACACATCAAATGTAAGTGAATGCATCAGCTAATAACTATGAGTTGCTGACAATTTTATTGTTGTTATTAACATAATCTCTTTGGGACTCAAAAATTTAATAGCTTTCCAGGAAAAAGGAATTACGTTGTTATAATTTCTCTTATTACGACCCAGCTATTCTTAATGATTAATATTCTTGGACACCAATCCAGATGACAAGTCCCCAAATCAGAACACGGTTTAACAGGAAATTAATTATACTCCAAATAACAAGGGTAGATAGAAGTAGGAATTCCGATAAGACAAATGCTAGTATATTTATAGTTTTACATAAGATTCTAGATTCTTCCCCAAATATCCACTAGCGCTGATTGGGTAAGAATTAGCCAATCAGCGTGCCCCAACACATTCCTGCATGGAACTTGCTTTAATCTAATCTATATTCCAATAACAATATGCTTATCCACGGTAAATGTTTACATATCATTTAGACAAACAGCCATTCTAAATTTCAATTTTTACTGGTAAAACTGCAATAAACATTATACACCTTATATAATCAAGGTGACGAAAATAGTGCTTAGAAGTTACTATACAATTCTATCAGACGGTTTGAAGAAAGTTTGATGCAGTATTGTTTTTTTCAAAATAGTATATTATACTTATCAATGTAACTTAATCCTCTTCTTAGGTTAATATAATCTTTGATTCAAGGGCATTTTATGATATTTGTTTCACGGCAACTTACTCATCCTTTCTAGTTCCAGTCATTTGAAACTCTTTGTTGGGGACGATAGATCCCCATACTCATATTTTTTTTATCTTATCGATCAACTTATCGATTAAATGTTTGAATGGCAGTCAGTTGATGAACCTATCGATTAGATGTGCAAATAGGTCAATTGATGAACTATCAATTAAATGTTAAATAGCGGTCAATTAATGAACTCATTGATTAATGTTTAAAAAATTTCCATGATAATATCGATTGTAAATATTTGTATAAATACGCTTGATTGTGTGCTTGACGTGACTCGTTATCTGCTGTTTGTCTGTAGAATACACTTTCTACACCTTACCCAGAGCCGGGGACAACGAACCAGAATAGCTATTGAGTCGCTGAATCATTGATCCTTCGTTCCGTTCGAGTAAGACGCATCAGTAATAGCATTCAACAATAACGAACCATAACACTCTTATTCTTGTGAAAATGAAATTTTGTTGACATTTCACATCAGAGAACAACCTATACAGAGCATGTTTATTGAAATATGGACAATCCCTACTTGAATATAATTTTCATTACAGAACGACATTGAATACAATAGTGTTATATTTATCTTCTCGAGACATTGGATAATTGTTTCATTGTGCTTAAAATTGACTGAATTAGGAAGTGCTGAATAACATAATGCTCTGTGAACTGTGAGCACTATTTCGTATATGAACCGCAAATGTGTGCCTATTGTTTCGGAGTTTCAAACTGAGACGAAGAAGCTGCAAATACTCCATGGTATTCAATGATTCCGCGGAAATTATCAGTCTGAAACATAAATTATTCGCTAGAATTCTGTCGAGTGAGAATCTCAATTAAGTGGTTTCTTCAAATTTATATTAGTCTATTCATAGGTAAGGGATTGGTGGTTATAGTCGTATTACTTAATTTACCTCTATTTAATTTAAATTCATTATAAACAAAATGAATTTATTGCTTTAATTTTAATCAGCTGACATTGTTTCATCTTTTTATTCAGATTTATTACACCACCATCTACCCTCCTTGTACATCTGTGAACAATCCATCTTGTTCACCTACTGTTCGCCAAACACGCAGTCAACATTCATGATGTATAAAACTATTTATTATAATATACAAACTTCATTATCTGTACTAAAGAAATACTCGAAATGTTAAGCAAAACACGGAAGCAACTCTATTTTGGAAAAAAAGTATCAATTCACAGCTTTGACGTGAGTGATACCGTAATCCACACACTTCCACTATTCACACAACAGAATTGAACTAAAACAAAAAAAACTCCTTTGTTTTGCTCAATATTATATTTATCCTTGAATAATGACCGGAACCAAACGTGAAAAACTCCAAACCAATAAGGTGGACTACGCATATATATATATATATATATATATATATATATATATATATATATATATATATATATATATATATATATATATAGTTGAATTTTTCGATCAAATTTATTTCGCTCTCTGATAAACGCATATTTTTTCTTATTTTTTCATTCGACTTCTTATGTCATTTGGGATTTTTTTTTAATATAAAAAGACTATACCTATACACATGGAGAAAGAAAAACTTGTATGTGTTGGTGATTAGATAAATGTGTTTAGGATGGAATTAGGATAAAGAGAAGATTAGTAGAAAAAAAACTTTGCTCATAGAAAGAATGAGAAGAAGAAAAAGACTGTCAATGTTTAATGCTCTAATATTGTGGATACAACTTTCATGATAATATAGATCTCTTTCACTGGAATTTCCATATATATATCCTTTGTATATGTTATTTAATACTGCTGTCGTGTAACATTGAGAAAATCGATTGAAACTGTAATTTCCTTTTTAAGAATGTTTCAATTTATTCGGTAAGTTGACTTAATGGTAAAAATAATTTTTTTTAAAAAATGGAATGACATTTAAAATGTTTATTGCTATGTAATTTTCTAATTGATATCTTATTCTTATCTTCGTCCTATACAATGTGATAATTATAATGATTAATTTCTGCTTTTTTTTTTCTTTCATTGAATAAACTTGCATTCCGTTAATATAACATTGATTATATACTTTATAGATATATATATATATTTGTAAATATGAACACTTCTTAAACTTTGTTTCTAGGTTGCTTATAGTTCAACGTTAAAATCAATGTAAATAATTTCTTTTTTTTTCTACGTTGTGAATAGTATGTGGTTTATTATTTTCCATAGAAATTATTAAATCAATACTAGTTAAAAATGTAATCTTATGAATTTGATAATCTATTCTATAAATGTTGTGTTTAACTTTTGTATCCTTGAATTGGGAGGTGAGGTGGGGGATAGGAGGTGATTTCGTGAGTTATGAACTTTCTAGTTTAGATTTATATAAACAGATATATTTGGAAATATTCTTGTCATCAATTTATCAGTATATTTTAGTAGTATGATCATATAAAATATGCATAGGGTTCAAGTATGTCGAGTGTTAGGAAAGAACTTACTGAAGACAGAGGATAATGATCGCGCGATGTTATAGACTAATATAATTTAGACGACCACACTATTGGATCTCACATCAGTGGTCTAGAGTTCAAGCGCTCGTATGCAAAACTGAAAGGATAGGATTCGATCCTTGCTAACGAGATTGTGGATACTCAGTTCTGAGGAGTCCCATGCTAGGAAGAAATGTTTATTTACTGCTTTTAGATTTTCAATAGTTGACTAAATTAAATCGGTTTATAATCTCAATAAAGTTTGATATTTTCACAACCACCTACTGATATTCCAACAAAAACTAGGCGATAATCGAGCATTTAAAACAACTGTTGTCCGACTGTGTCTTGAGGAACATTGTGCAGCCACGTAGTGTAAGATTATATCCCATATTAGTGAGGTAAGTATCAGTAGTAGCTTTTGGTTACTTTTTTACCCCAATTTCAAAATATGGACCACTAGATTTCAATCAGGTAGTCTAGAAGCATCATATGAGTGGCAAGCCCTGAAAGTGTTATGTTTGGATTACGTTTGTGGTCGTAGGTACTGAATACTGAAGAGTTACAAACTAACATAACACTTTTCATCCCTCCTTGAATCCAAGTTTTATTCTATTGATGACCACCCATGAAGAAAAACGTTGACTTTAAGTTGAATAATCTCTAAGACTAATAAATGATTTCATTTATAATATTTCAGCATTAAAATCGGTCTATTAGTGACGCGATTCCCTTAAGTTCTAATGAGTCGTAGGTTCTCAATTAAGCAATGTTTGATCCGAGTAAATATGAAATTAATTCATACTAATAAACTACTATATGAAAACTGACTTCATACCTGACATTAAGACTGTACGAAGTATGATGACATCATAATGAATCATTTCAGAATTTCTTAACAGTTAAAATACAAATTGAATAAACATATCCAGTTTATAAATAACAAGATAATGAACATTCAAAATGTTTTAAGTATTCATTGTAATTGATTATAGTTTCTACTTCAAACTACTTCATACGTCTCACTTAGATTAAAATGATGAAACTGAATATTGCTTGTTCAACCGTTAAGGTATTGAAATAATTCAAAAGATATAGCACTTAATTAACTGTTGACACATCGCTTCAAAGGACTCCTCATTTAAGGTAGTCTACAGTGTCAAAGGAACTGAATTGAAGGGGGTTCAAATCAATATTTTATGCACTGAAGAGGCATTGGCAATCCACAAACTCAAGTCTGAACTTTGCGTGCAGAAACGTTTTTTCCAACCTTTCATCCTTCCTTGGCCATATCTCCTAATTATTAACTTTGTTAAAACATTATAGTTTAAAAACAAGTTTATTTATTTATAAAATAATCATTATGATTTAAAAACGACAAATCAGTACAAACCATTACAAATGATAAAACAAGGGGAATTGGGAAACACTTTTAAAATTACAAAATATTGATTGTTAAGACTTAATTGTTTTGGTTTTGAATAATAAAAGAGAAACGAATCATTTTGTCAAGTTCAGCTGTTAGCCAGTCATATTAAATATCCATCCATATGAGTAGATTTTAAAAGCTGAAAATAAATTATTTATGCGTCACAAACACTTGAGGTTCGTCTATAAATCTTTGGTCGATTCTCAAAAATAGGTGAATGAATTGCTGAAACATTTGTTATATGGTCACGTTTCATAATAGATCGATATGTAGTTGAGTCATTAAAATTATTTGTAAATGTACTTAAGTTTGACGGTGATTGTGGTCTTTTCTTATCCATGGATTGATTGAAGTCATAAACCATTTGAATTGATGGAGAACCATATGTTTCCGATCGATCAGGTAAAGGAGGAGCATTTTCATCAAAAGGATCTGATATTATTCCTGTTGTTGTTAATGGATTATTTTTATTATCAATAACTTCTGTATTCTCATCTGATGGAAATCCAGTTTCATATATTCCTGTACCAGAATATATGCCTAGTGGATCACATTCATCATATTCGTCAGGTATTGTACTTGGTTCTAATTGTTTACTGTAAGCAGCATTTGATGATTTTTTAATTAATGGAGGAATATTAGATGTATCTTCGTATGTAATATTCATGAAATGTTGATTGAGTGGACATGAACTACCATAATTGGACTGTGCTGAACTTCGAGGATTGTGATATAATACAATAGGTCCATGTTTATTTAAATATTGTACCTTACGTCTATAGTATAATAATCGTTGCAAAAATGATAGTTTGAAGCATAGGTAAAAGTAAAACAAAATAAATATTTCAGTGAATTATGGCATCTCTATATTCAGACAACAATCGAAATTGATAGAAAGCAAGAAACGTACTAGTTCATACGATCGTAGTGTCTTGCAAATGTTATTTCATAATCAAAAATGAATTTAGAATAGAAAAGACTGATATAAATCTAATAAACAACTAATCTCCTTTAATTCAATTTTTATATCAATTACTTTTGACAGCAGAACAATTCACATAGTTGAAACGCAAACAAAATAGTTAATGTACTAGTGATCAATGCAAGTAATTCGATATTATGCCTCTAAGGGAGAAGTTTTCAATGGCTTATTATATTTTAAAAAAAAGATACATAAACCAAAATGTTGTCATATGAAACAGTTTATTCATGCAAATGTAAGTAATTTCTACTGTTTAACTTACACCCGTTACTCTTAGTAGAGCATAGGCGGCCGACCAGCATTCTTCAACCCACTCTGTCCTGGGCCTTCTTTTCTGGTTCCATCCAATTCTTGTTCATTTTTCTCATGTCTATTTCCATTTCTCGGCGTAATGTGTTCTTTGGTCTTCCTCTCCTCCTTTGGCCGTAGGATTCCATGTGAGGGCTTGCCTTGTGACACAGTTGGGTGATTTCCTCAATGTGTATCCTATCCACTTCGAACGCTTCTTCCTGATTTCTCCGTCCGCTGGGATCTGGTTTGTTCTTTCACACATTAGGTTGTTGCTAATAGTGTCCGACCAACGGATCCGAAGTATTTTGTATAGACAACTGTTAATAAACACTTGTATCTTTTGGGTGATGGCTTTCGTAGTTCTCCAGGTTTCCACCCCATGCAGTAGAACTGTGTTGACATTTGTATTGAAAATTCTGACCTTGGTGTTTGTTGACAATTGTTTTGATTTCCAGATGTTCTTCAGTTGTAAATATGCTGCTCTTGTTTTACCGATCCGCGCTTTCACATCTCTATCAGATCCAACATGTTCACCAATGATGCTGCCCAAATATGTAAAGGTTTTTACATCTTCCAAATCTTCTCCGTCAATTGTGATTGGATTGGTGCATGCTGTGTTGTATCGGAGAATCTTTCTTTTCCCTTCGTGTATGTTGAGACCTATTGGTGCTGAGGCTGCTGCTACACTGATCGACTTCTCCTACAGTTTTTGCTGCGTTTGCGATCGGAGGGCCGGATCATCTGCGAAGTCTGGATCTTCCAATTGCATCCTATCTGTCCACTGCATCCCATAGTGCCCTTCAGATTTTGACGTCTTCATGATCCAGTTGATCACCAGGAGAAAGAGAAAGGGTGAGAGTAAGCAACCTTGCCTGACACCGGTCTTTACTTCGAAAGAGTCTGTGACCT